AAACTAGCTTTTCATTGTATAATGGGTTATGGGGAAAAATGAAATAAAATTAATTAATTAACAGTTAAATAATTTATATATTTTTAAATGTTTATTTGTCATTGGATAATGGGTTATGCAGAACTAATGTTTTTTTTGTTTTTGTTTTTTTAAAAAGCATATTTAAACCAATAATATATTCTCAAATATTTGCTTTTCTTTAGAAAATTGATTATTTGGAACTAAATAAAATAATAAAATTAAACAATGAATACAATTCCAAATTGTAGCTTTTCATTGTATAATTGGCTATGGGGAATAAAATAAAAAGTTTATAATTTTATTTAACAATTCATATATTTGTAAATATTTGCATCAATAATGGGTTATGTGGAATAACGTTAAAAAAAATAACAAATAAAAAATATATATTTAAACTATAAACATTTTTAAATTTTCGCCTTTCATACGATAATAGATCATGTGGAATTAAATAAAATACATATTTAAACAATTAATATTTCTAAATGTTTGCTTTTCGTCAGATAATGGGTTGTGTGGCATAAAATTGAATAAATTAAATATATCTTTAAACAATTAATATATTTTTAAATATTTGCTTTTAATTGCAAAATGGGTTATATGGAATTATTTTTTTTAATATTCACTTTTCATCAGATAATGGGCTATATGAAATAAAATTAAAATATTCATAAGATAATGGGTTATGTGGAGTAAAACAAAATTTAAAAAAGTAAATATATATTTAAACAATGTATTTTCAAATATTTTCTTCCCATCGGGAAATGGGTTATTGGAACGAATATATTTTAAATATTATTTTATCATATAATAGGTTATATAGAATAACAAAATATTTAAACAATATTTCAAAAACATATCAGATAGAATTAACAGCAATGAATGCACAGCAGTCAAATTATGAAAATGCTGACTATAAATAATACTGTGCGGTTCGTTGATCTCATGTTTATCAGTGTTTTCCTTCATTTGTAGGATGTGTTTTCATTGCACGGCACGTACTTGTGGTACATCCTGTTGGTGGCCTCATAGTCAGGGTTGATGGGATCTTCATATCCGATCTCTGCCGCGCGAGATCTCTCCTGACACATGTACGCTCCTCTGACCAGCTTCGCACCGAAGTACCAGCCCTCCCGCCGCGACAGCTCCACATCCACCGACACGTTATCATACGCCTCCTACACACACAGTGCTTGTCATGAGACTCACACACACAGACTAACTAACTAAAAGTGCCATAAAACCATTAGAGAGAGATGCACAGAAGGTCTTATGAAAGCCATATAGTGCTTTTACAGCATTGTCATCATGATTCATTCTGTGACAAAAAAAAAATAATCCAAATTGCAAATTATGAACCACCAAAATGGTTACATTTTAATTTGGGTCCGTTCCTCGTTTCAATTTTAAGTACTGAAAATTTTAATTGGAATGTCATTTTTGGAGCAGCGTGAATATTCTGTTGTACAAATAAATAATTACATTTATTGTAGTTTTTCCTTTTTATTTAATTTAGATTTTTTTTTTATATATACACACACATTAATAATTCTAAAAATGTAAAAATGTACAACATACATATTCTAATTCTAATTGATATTAAATTCTAATATGTTACTAATGTTAAATGTTAACATAAATTACATATATTCTAAATCATTTTTATTTTGTTTTCAATTATTACATTCAAATTATTTTAATTATATATAATAACTGTACATATATATTTGTAATTACTAAATTCTTATTTATTATTCTTAATTATGAAAATCATTACAGTTGCTTTTAGCACTATTATATTACTTGAAATATAAACAATAATTACTTTAATTAACCATTATAACCTTTACTAAGACAAATGTAGTCTATTCCGTGGTTTCAGAGTTTCAAAATTCTCTCGTAACATTTATGTAAATTTCAGATCTTTAAATCAATTTTAGGTATCAAAAGAAGTTGGAATTTGACACACATGTCAGATGGACGACTTTTTTCAATGCTTTTGTGCTACCTGAACATTTTGCCGAGCATCTCCTTTTGTGTTGCACAGACGAAAGGAAATCTTACAGGCCTGACATAACATGAAGATGAGTAAATAATGACAGAATATTATTTTTGGATTGACTGATCCTTTAATGATCCATATTATGGCAGGATAAATGAGAAATCTGGGTGTGGAAGCGATGTGAAGCGGCAGGTTTTGAGGGTGCGGACACATGTGTGTGTGTGTGTGTGTGTTTGGTAGGAACTGAACTGTGTGTGTGTGTTTCAGCGACTCACTCTCAGGTAGCACTGGTAGGTGTTGAAGATGTTGGGTTTTTCTCTGTTGAAGATCCTCTGCATCTCCAGCGTGAGTCTGCTGATGGCCGGCTGGAAATACGTCTGCTCTGCGTCCACCATCAGCCTCACGCCGTTCTCCACAGCGTGCTGGAACAAACACACATGAGCTTAGACAATGCCTTTCAGCTGTAATAATGCACTTCAGAAACACAGTTACATAACCAGACCGCCTGCAGGACACTTTTACAGCTGGCACGCTCAACAAGACTACTACGACTGGGAACTAAGAGAGCAACAAATCACAATAATACTCTTCATTTCTCACACTGAAAACAGGTGAATAAGCCAGCAAGATAAAGATACATTTCACACACACTTATTTAATAAATACTAAAATAATAATTATAATGAATATTATTATTTTTTTATTTTACATTTTATTACATTAAAACCATTGACTATTTTAATTATACATAATTCAATAATTAAAACACAGATTTTTTAAATTTGATGATATATTATTGGCCTCTAAAAAGCATTGTGATCTTTACAAGTCTATTCCGTGGACTGTTTCAGTTTCAAGAATTCACATGCTTTAGATAAATGACCTCAGCATTTGCAGAGATAAAAACGCTTTCATTTAGACCTTCAAATGTACAATTTATCTACCATCTTCAGTCTGTCTTTATGGAGATGAAGACCATAACTTGTTTGTATTCAGTTAACTGTAGCTTCCTTGCATTTGACATTGTATTTTTAAAACCATTTCTCTCTATAGCGTATTTTTCATACTCGTCAGTGTTTTGTGTGTTTATCTCATAGAAGATAAGAAGTCAGTCTTGTGACGCTGAGAACAGGCATTTTAAAAACCTACTGAGCAAGGAGAAGTTAAAACAAACTGACGGTGTGCTATTTTATTGTGGCTTTGTTTTATCGTCCACCTGATTACATTCCTGTGTTATTCAATGCTTAAACTGGACGATCAAAGTGAAACGTCACACAGCAGTCGAGGTTAAAAAGTACTGAGCAATACTTTTCCACCAGAACTGCTTCTAACAAGAGTTTATCTACCAGCGTCTCCTTGGTCAAGCGCAGATGTGCAAACACAAACGAGACGGAAAATGAGACGCTCTTGCGTCAAACGGTGAAATGTAGTAAGAAAAGTATTTGGTTAATGGCTGATCAGGGTCAAGTCACTCTGAGAGAGTAATGGCAAACATCAAATGCACACAGACACACACGCAGAGTAGAGAAACCAACCCTTACCGGCTGATTTCTGACGTAACATTTCTGTCAATTTTAGATCTTTTGCAACCTCTTCATGTGCCAGGTCACAAGAAAACAGTCCAACAAATCTAAGGTCATTTACCTGTCAGCATAACTTTTTAACAGATTTTTAAAAAATGAAATACATAATTAGAATTTATTTTTAAGATGTTTTTATTACATTTAAAATTATTCGAAAAAATTTTTTAATTAAAAAAAGTAATAACCATTTAAAAATGTAAAAATATATAAATATGGTACATATTTTATTGTTAAATTTATCAAATATACATTTTAATTATATAATTTAATAATTGTAAATATATACATATTGTTTTTTATTTGTAACTATTAAATTCTAATTCTAATTTGCACTTTTCAACTTTTTTTATTCAATTTTAATTATTTTTAATTTCATATAAATTCATAATTTAAAAAACATCAGACAAATGCAGACTAGTCAATGGATTGTTTCCAAGCTTCAAATATTACCATCTGATTTCTGTCGTCATTTATACAACAAAATCAACAGAATAACTTTTAAACTGAATTTTAATGTTAATAATGTTTGGTAAGATTTGGTGAAATACCTTGGCGAGGACGTCCATTCTCTGTAGCATCCTCTTCATCTGTTTCTCCTCTTCATCAGTGAATTTGCTCAACAGAGGCTCCAGGTGACCGCTCTTTGGACATACGGACAGTTCGTATGAGCTGAGCAGCGTTTGTGTGTGTGTGTGAGTGTGAGTGTGTGTGTGTGTGTGTTTGTGAGTATGAGAGTGTGTGTGTGTGTGTGTGTGTGTGTGTGTGTGTGAGTGTGTTACTGTACCTCCATGTTGGGCACCACCAGCAGGTTGGAGATCTTGGTTGTGTCATTGATGAGGCTGTTCCAGTCCAACAGATCAATGGTTCTGCAAGAACAAAGCAGAAACAATGGTCAAAAACACACATAGGTCTAGCTTGCTTCATATAGAGTCAGTTGAAGTGTAAAAAGTAGAGATCTGTAAAGGTTGTAATAAACTTTAGGGACTGGGAAAGTAAGTTGAAGAGACAGTCGAGGAGTTTTACCCTGATGAACCCAGTTTCTCTCCAGTAAACCAGTTCTCAATGTCTGATTTTGCACCAACTCCCAGTTTGATCAAACTGTCCTGCAGGTAAAAAAGATAGAGAATGTTATATATAAAATGTAGTTTATTATTATTTTTTTTTTATTATTAAATGAATATACCATTAAAGATTTGGGGTCGGTAAGATGTTTTCAAGTTTTTGAAAGAAGCCTCTTTTGCTCACTAAAGACTGTATTTATTTGATTAAAAATACAGTAATATTGTGAAATATTATTACAATTCAAATGAACTGTTTTCTATTTAAATACGTTTTAAAATGTAATTTATTCCTGAGATGCAAAGCTGAATTTCCAGCATCATTACTCCAGTCTTCAGTGTCACATGATCCTTCAGAAATCATACTAATATGCTGATTTGCTGATTATCATCATGTTGACAACAGCAGTGCTGCTTCATACAGCATTTATTATAAAGAACAGCATTTACTTAAAATGGAAATCTTTTAACATTATGTTTTTTTTTTCCCATCAACTGAATGCATCATTTCTGAGTAAACGTATTAATTTCTTCAGAAAATAACTACTATACACAAACTCATTTTTATTATTATTATTTTAATTTTAGCATATTAAGCCTAATTTTTTTTTTTAAATAAGCACATAAATATTTGTACACATTTGTCTTTAATTGTTAACTGTCCTAAATACGACATCAAATATCAGAATAGACCACATTTACTTTCTAGATAAATATGTCTGGTTGTTTTTATAAAATACAAATTTCATTTTCTTAAACCAAGCCCCACATCATTTCCTGCTGAATAATAATATGCATCCGTTTTGAAATAGAATTGAAATGCATTGCAATGTTTTGTGAATGAAAGCAAATGAAATATTGACCACACTAAAACACTAACATCCCAAACCCTGTCAATCATCTACTTTTCATAAGCATTATAAACAGAGACTTCGAGTGTCAAGCACAAACCTGCAGTTGTTCGAGCTCCAGCTTCTGCTCGAGTATCGCCATGCCGTCCTTCCCCTGATGAGCCGCCAACAGATTGAAGAACCTCCTCCACTTCACCAGCACCTCGGAGAACTGCAGCTTTAGGAGAAATCAGACCAGATGAATCACACAGACACAATCATACTTGACAGAAACTTGAGCGAGAGAGAGAGAAAAGGAGTTACCAGGAACTGCGGCCGGCCCAGTGCCGTCATCTTAATGGCCGAGAATCCATCCACAGAGCTTCCAGCTACAACACAATTACCAGGGGCGGATTTAGTGAATTGGGAGCCCCAGGCAAAATATAGGAATGGGGCCCTATACATTTGCACACATTTTCCTAGATCAACCTTGAGGTTCCTTTTTTGTTGTGATGCTTGCTGCTGCACAATGGTGCCCCATAGTTGTGTCCAATGTTTCTACATTTTTCATGTACATGTTATAATGGCTTTCTTTCATGTTGTAGACCACGAAATAGCAACTGATTTACAGTTGAGATACAGGTTTTCACAAAAACAAAATCAATTATAAAATGATAATCCTCACATCTGAGCGTTTAAACCAGGGGTGAGTCAGAAGTGTAAATTATTGTATTCATTCCAAACAGGGTTATGTGGGTGGATTTTCGCATTGGTCTGAACAAAAACCACAGACTGAATTATTGAAAATTAACATTCATTCTCTGCCAGTAGGAGGCGCTTTTGGAACATCAGAAATATAGAATGAGAAAAGTGTGAAAAAATATAGCCTATATTGAGGAGGAAAGTCCACTGATGAGTTACCAGCGTAAGCCTGTGTGCAAAGGCTGTCTAATTCTAAACTTTAAAATACATTTATTTTTAGTTATTTTAACTACAAATTTAAACAAAACTGAAAACATAATGAAAAGGCAATTATACATTTACACACCTAAGGATTACTTCAACCAAAAAAAAGTAACTGCGTATGTGTCCTCTACTTGGGTCCTTCTCATAAATGAGTAAGCGGCATTTAAAACCATTATAAACATATAATACACACTGTTTCTCAATATTTAATTACAGCTTCAGATGCATGATATTTTCATCTCCTTCAAGCAGGACACAGAAAAAGCAAGTTCAACTCGGATGGTTGTCATGGTAATAAACACCGTAAACAGCAACCGTTCGCATGTTAGCGCTTAATGCACTAAGCTTAATATAGCTTATATAGCTTAATGCGCTATATGAAAAGCATTTTAGGGGGCCCTTGGCTTTTGGGGGCCCAAGGCGGTCGCCTACCTTTGCCTAATGGGTAAGTCCGCCCCTGACAATTACAGTAAAAGTAAAAATGTGGTGTTTCACTTTTTGCACACAATTAGAAAGAAATGACAAGTAATGCATTGAGATAAACATGACATACTGAAGAAGAAAACCGGAAAAGTTTTCTACTTTTTTTTTACAGCGTAGTTATTCATAATAATATTCCGCTCACCGGAAGCTTTGATGCAGTTGATGAAAGTCTCCATGTGATGGTCACACTTGGCCTCGTCCGCGTAGAAATACGTGCGAGCGCTGATCACTCCTCCACGCCGATCTCCGAACTGACGATGAGCTTTGTACTTCTTCTCACGATGATCCATACCTGAATATGAATTTTAGAAATCAGTCAATTTCTGAGATACTGATTCAGAGACAACCTTCTGTTTTAAGACCGTTTTCACAGGAAACGTCTGTCAGATCATGCTGCAAAAAGCTGTCAGAAACTTAAAGTCAATGGAAATGATAGAATTTGAGTTTAAAGTGTAATTATGATTTAACAACTTGCCTTTTTAGTTCCATAATCAGAGTATTTTTGTGCATAACTTATGTTGCGTTCCGGTCATTTTTTCTTTTGTCTTAATAAAATTTCTCTTATTTATGTACACCTTTTTATTTTTATTTTTAGTACATATAATTTGTTTTCAATTTTGTACTTTTTAGGGCTTTTCCTTCCCACTTTATTCCACCTGTGATGTCCTCAGTCAAAAATGTCCTGCCTACAAAAAATTTATTGTAAATTTCTTGTCATGCTATATTATTACCAAATATGGGATTTTATCTTTTTAAATCAACTTGTTTTCCTTCAATTAGTACAGATCTGAGCTTATGCATCTCAGTTTTTGAGTGAATGTTGCCAAATAATGCTTTTTTCACTCAAAAACTGAGATGCATAAACTCAGTATGGAAGCCCGTTTCCGCCACTGAATAAAAAATAAAAAAGGTAATTGCGACTTTTTCTCTCACAATTCTGACTTTTTATCTCATAATTGCGTGATACAAACTCGCAATTCTGTTTTTTATCTCATAATTGCGTGATACAAACTCGCAATTCTGTTTTTTTTTTCTCAGAATTGCGTGATATAAACTTGCAATTGCGAGTTAAAAAGTCATAATTCTGAGATATAAACTCGCAATTCTGAGAAATAAAGTCAGAATTGCGTGATATAAAATTCACAACTGCGAGACAAAGTCGCAATTCTGAGAAATAAAGTCAGAACTGCGATATAAACACACAATTCTGGCTTTTTTTCTCAGAATTGTGAGATTCTTTAAAAAACGTTTTTTTTATTTTTATACAGTGGCAGAAACGGGCTTCCATAGCTCAGAGCAACGAGGCCGACGGTGAATTAGTTTCAAACACAAAACATGTGCTAACTGAACAAAAACAAGCTGACAAAAAGAATGAAATGAAGTATATGAAATGAATAGGCTAATATAGCACAACTGAAATGCATAAGCAATTTTAAAAGGCCGGTCATTTTTGACTGGTAACACCAAATCTTAAGGATTTTCAGCAGAGCACAAGGGTTAAAAAGAAAATCAATTTTGACTTCATGTTGACTTTAATAGAAATATCATGCACATTTAGAATTTAAACATGGTTATTAATGCTGAACAGCTTTTTGCAGCATGATGGCTGTGGCCAAAACCTTGCACTGTATTACTTTTCATAATACCTTATTGAGGAAAGGTCTGAGATACAGAACACCCCACAGACTCGAGAAACATGAGCTTGCAAAGTTAATTTCAGCCCCTTCACCAGGACAGCCCACGGTTAAACCAGCTTTAACCAGTCTGAGCGAGTAAAACAGCTAGAGCCCCTAACACACATACAGCAGGCTATTTCAGCCTCAATGACGGAGTCAACACGCTTCACGATCCCTGAGGAGACAATGCTAACGTTACAAAAAACCCAGCCAGATGAAACTCAAGCAACTACCAACACCCTTCCAGCATCAACAAATAAAACAAAGTACACTGTACACTCATTGTCCTGAAGCAAGCATGCACTGGTGTCCACTGAAAATAAAACAAAACAAATGTTTACTATTGCTTTAAAAACTACTAGGAACATTATCAGATTTATCAAAATGAAACATAATAATAAACTAAAAACGGAAAGTTTAATCAAATTATATAAAATCATATATAAACAAAGGAAAATGAAAAACAGCACAACACAAAATTAAAACAATAAAGTAAAATAAAATGTAAAAAAACAGCACAAAACAAAAAGACAAAAAACTACAAGGAAAATAAAAAAACAGAGAAACACAAATTAAAACAATAGACAAGACAAAACAAAAAAAACAAGGCGATGATATCAAAGCAAAATAAAAAACAGCACAAATTAAAATGAAAACAAAAAAACTAAACTTGTCCAGACAGAATAAAATAAAATAATAAAATAACATTAAATTAAAACAAAAAACAAAACAAGAGATTAAATAAAATTAAAATAAAAACAAAAAAACAAAATCCTAGGACGCATTAGACAGTTTTTTATTTTTACTTAACATTGTGTAATGCACTGAACTGACTCAGGAATTAATTTTACATTTATCATAATCACACAGGCCAGATTTATTTAAAAGCAGCAATAAAACCATGTTGTATGATTGTCTAGTTTTCAAATGCTTAAATGTAGTTCAAATATTTGGAATTTAGTGTCATTTATTGTACTTACCATGACTCTCTTTCTCAGCCTCAGAAACACAGGAGCTGAAAAGCAAGGCGAAAAGAATATGATAAAGTGGAAAGTTGTGCTTTATTGATGCTAGGTCAAGTTTCTGCAAACATGTCACCGTTAAACCAGGACATTTTACACCTGAGCTCCTCTCAGCCTTGCTAAAAAAGGTGATAAATTCACTGGGGGCCATTAAATGAAGCAACACACACTGAACACTCTGCCAGAGACACACACAACACAATATTCTGCACTCGGCCGGGAACCCGTCTGATTCCCAAACGCTTGCAGTCACACACCGTGCGTCACTCACTTTGCAACACGAGTCTCAGTCAACAGACTGAATCAATCTAAAATCAATTTCAGAGCAGTTTAGAAATTTAAAGGAGGATGAAAATTATTTTTTAGAATTGAAAAAAAAGTTTTGCTTCTCTTTTTCCAATCTGGCTGTGAGGGAAATTAAAACGATCCAACGCAAAAAAACTGAAAGCGGCAACACTCTGATGCAAAAGCTCAAAGTTGAAGCATGTGAATGGTAAATATGTCAAGTATTTGACCCGACCTTCTGTACAAACAAGACATGGTGTTGCAAGCGTTCATACTGCAGCATGCGCTCGTGAACTATTATGAACCATTTCAATGCTGCAAATACTGCTTGCAAAAATGTAGATATTTTTAATAATATTTTTAAATCTTTAATGATTTTTATAAAGTAAGCATAAGAATAACTTTTATATTCTTAGTAATATTTCCAGATGAACACTTACTGGCCTGAAGCAACTTTACTTGAGTAACTTTTTTATATGTATTTTATTTAAGAATCTGTTATAAAGATCTCATCTTCCTTTTTTGTCCATATAAATATCAGCATCTGAACCAAATTGCAATTTTGTAATTTTCTTTGCAGTTTGATTAAAATTGAGCAGTTTTTTCTTCCTTGATATTAAGCTCTATTCTTCTATCATACTAAATAAGCCATAAAAGCCTGATTTATCAAATATAACACCCAAAAAACATTTGCAAATGTTTTTGTCTAAAGGTTCAATCATTTTCCTGACTACTATTGCATAGGTCAGGCTTTACGGGGTAAAAACAGCAGACGAAATTCTCATCAAAGTGGAAATATATACCTCAATAAACCACAATACATAAGATAAGTCACATGAATGTCATGCCAGATACCATTTCAATAAATCACATGATTAAAAAAAAAATCATTCATGCATGTAGCACAAGCAGAATAGTACAGATTATACTTACAGATAGAGGTTTGCCTTAACCTTAAATAAACCTCTAACCTCAACTATGAGTAGTAGTTAGTAGTAGTAGTTTTGAATATGTTATCATTGTAATGAAAGATTTAATTCCCTGAGAGAATATTCTAACTGAATACTAGGTCTAATCTTCCCCAAAACACCTTACATAACATTTGCAGCATGTCTGTGTGTGTGTGTGTGTGTGTGTTGTTACTCAGCAAACTGGCTTTTTTTCCTTGAACAAAATGAAAGCACATTCCCACGGGGAGTGGGATGAAACAAGCTTCCCTTTTGTGCTTTTATAACCTAAATAAATCCTAAAAGAAATGCATTGAACTAGCAGCTCAAAAAGTATTCCTAAATAAAGAATTAACCTCATTTAAACTTTTAGTGCTTTTCATAATTCTGGCTATCTGCGCCACACCTTCAAATGTCAACTGCTCGTGACAGGCTTTGAGTTACTCAACATGCTGGCCTGGGTTTCCTAGCTCAGCCTCATGTGACTGCATTCTGTGAGGGAGGAGGATAAAACACCTCCCTTTTTTAGCCAATCAGGTGGTGGGCCTTGGCCGAAACTGACCAATGGGGAAGAAGGTAATGGGAGACTGTTTCCACTAGTGCAGCCAAGAGTGTGGCAAGGATTCAGTGTCACTGACGAGTCAAAACTCTGGCTGGAATTCAATGTCATGCATCTTTTGCTCTGTGTAGGACGGAGGAAAGGAAAACAAGGTCTTGGGTTCATACTCACTCCATCTCCTTCTTCTCAGCCTCTTCTTGAGTCAGGTCCTCCTCCACGCTGTAGTCCAGAACCGAACCCACGCCAAACGCCTGGTTCTTCTCGATCAGAGGTTTGATGGTGTTCTGGTCCTCGCCTGCCACAAACTGGCCGTAGAAGGTCATTTTCATCAGTTTCTCGAAGAGCCGTTGACCAAAAACCTTCTTGCTGAGGTCCATCAACTGTGGAAGGAAAATTGAGGAATATAATGTAAATTAAACAATGCTACAAACAAATTGCCTAGTTTCTGAAAACAAACAAACATGTTTAATATAACTGTATAATATAATTGTGATTGTGAATATATTTTTTATTTTAAATCAAACTTAAATAATAAGATATATATTTTTATATATATAGCATATAAATATTATACTAAATATATATAGATAGACATAGACATAGACATAAATGGATAGATATATACAGCCGAGGTCAAAAGTTTACATCAGAATCTGCTAAATGTTCATTATTTTACCAAAATAAGAGGGGTCATACAAAATGCTTCTTGTTTATATATATATATATACATATATATATACATATATATAGAGAGAGAGAGAGAGAGAGAGAGAGAGACAGTTTATAATACAGAACTTAGAATTCTAGAATTTATAATATAGACCAGTTTATTGAGTTTTTGTAGCACTACCTCAGATGACCAGTGATGACCAGGTCCACTGATGGTCAGGTATGAATCATTGCCACCTGAGAAC